GTCGAGTTTTATATGACCTCTTCGGATTAGAAAGAGCCTTACCAGTCGAAAATTTTTCGTATAAACGCTTAATGGTGTTCTTTGAAGGCGCACTTCTCACATTTTTTAATGTTTTAAAAGCACGTTGAGTTTTCACAATTGACTTCTTCTGTTGAATATAAATTGCAACTATTTCAGAGCGCTCGCGTGACGTGTATTGGTTCATGGTAAAAATCTGCTTGGACTGACGCTTCAAACGCAGTATGTCTTGAAGCGAAGTGACATCTCTGTCAAAAGTTATGGCGTTGCCAGATGGGTCCATCGAATATGGGCAACCCTGTACTTGCCAAAGACGTCAGCTGAAAATGAGCACCTTCGGTTGGTCACCAGAACTCAAGCGCCGGCCATGGTGATGGCGTGGGCCACCATAACAGCCGATGGTCGCTCTTCTCTCGTATTAAGCCGACTATTATCGCGAAAATATTCTTTAGAGTGTATTAAAGCCTTGGGCACGCAAACAGACCAACAGGACTCAGCACCATCGCACACAGCACGCGACAACCAAAAATGGTTACAAAATGAGGTTCCTCGCTTCATTTCCAGCGCACAATGGCCACCAAAATCTCCAGATACCAATCAGTTGGACTATTGTGTTTGGAGTATTTTGGAAAGCGAGGTTGGCACTAAAAATACCAAAGTGAATGGGACAAAATACCGCAAGCAATATTCAGGCAGCGTGTGACGGTTTCAGGGCGGTTTAAGGAGGTGCTGTTGTATGGGGGCTATATTTAGACATGGACCCATATGAGCAATCTTCTGTCATAGCTTGTAGTACCCATTAGGAACTTCGAATTTCATATTTGAATCATTTCCGGCGAAAAGTGTGTGGAAGTACAGTCACATGGTGACCAAAACTTAGACCTATTTTGACAGTTCTATGCAAGGAAGTTTTGAAGTTGAATCTGTTGGTACAGTTATATGGAGGATATACAAAAACGTGGACCAATATAGCCCATTTTCAATACCAAAAGTCTTGTGGACCTTACACACATCTGAATAAAATGTTATTATCCTACGAAAGCTAGAGTGATTTCCACAGACGGACATCGTCATAGAATTTTATGCTGATCAAGAATATACATATTTTTGGTATATGTATATTTCGAGGTGTTAGACACAGAATGACAAACTTAATATACCCTCCATACTATGGTGAAGGATACAAACAATATATATTTAAAATAATTACTTAATATACCCTCCTGTCCGATGTGTGCCAATAAAAAAGTATTCACCACTAATATCTTCAACTCACAAATTAATATCCGATCGTTTTGAATATTTCCATTTAAATATGTTGGTCTGAATGTATATTTGTTTTCTTTTCTTGTAAGATATTAAGGTGATAACTTGGTGATAATCATTTGCAAGACCTTTACAACACCAACACCACGCACGGATGGTCTAATTACTATTAATAAACACGAGTTCTTGAAACGAACGGCAATAAAGACCAAAAGTACAAGAAACCCCAGATAGAGAAATGTAAATATTTGTCTTTTATTATGAATGTCCCTACACTCAGAGAACTATAGAAAACAACAATAATCATGTAAACATACAATTGTACAATGTGGTTTTATTTGTTTGTTTGTGTGTAACAATATGAACATAAATATAAATACTACAAAAAAAAAAAAAAACAAAAAAAAAAAAAACACTGAAAAAAGATAACTCCTAAACATAAACTGGCATGCGACACAAGGTTATGAAACTGTGGAGCGCTAGTCTCTGAGAAAGAAAGTTAATGAAAATTGAGATTTTTACACATTAGGAAAACTATGAACCTACTTCATATTAGGAATTGGGCCTGACGAAATTATCTAAAAGTATTTAAATCTTGTTTCTGTTTTTGATTTCCACACTTATTTTTCAAACAAGAGAACTCTGAAACGTTCTCAAAATAAAACCAGAAAAGAAAGACTTAAAGTCGGCCGGGGCCGACTTTATGATACCCTACACCACTTTGCTAATTTAGTAGAGCTGCGCATAACAATTAAAAGTTTTTATGGGAGAATTCAATTATACACGCTATGATTATAATTATAATTTAATGTTTAAAGAACTAAATATGCCGACGAATTTGTATCTTTTAAATTCGGACTAGTGTTGGTGCACAAATAATTTAAAATCTAAAAAAAATATATATGGGAGCTATATCCAAATCTGAACCGATCTCGATAAAATTTGGCAAAGATATTTCTGAGCTGTATTTGATATATTTCCCTTAATATCGTTGTTACGGAGTGCATATTACGGCTGTGGGTAACAAATACAACAAATCGGATGAAAAGTATATATGGGAGCTATAGCTATATCTGAACCGATCTTCACCAAATTTGACAATACTAGCTTCTAGACTCAATTCGGTCGTAAGTGCCAAATTTCATCCAATTTGGCCAAATATTAGACGTTTGGTGCACAATCAAAGGTAAATCGGACAAAGTTATATATGGGAGCTATATCCAAATCTGAACCGATCTCGATAAAATTTAGCAAGTGTATTTCTGAGCTGTATTTGATATATTTCCCCAAATATTGTTGTTACAGGGTGCATATTACGGCTGCGGGGGACAAAAATAGCAAATCGGATGAACAATATATATGGGAGCTATAGCTATATCTGAACCGATTTCGATCAAATTTGGCATACTTATTTTCAGGTCTAATCTGATCGTGCATGCAAAATTCCATACAATTCGGACTAATATTACACGTTTGGTGCACAATAAAAGGCAAATCGGACGAAGGTATATATGGGAGCTTTATCTAAATTTTGACCGATTATCTCCAATTTCAATAGGGTTCGTCCTTGGGCCAAACAAATGTTGTTTGCAAAATTTCATCTCAATCGGATAATAAATGCGACCTGCATTTTGTTCACAAGAATACATGGACCAGACGGACGGGCGGACGGACGGACAGACGGATGGACGGACATGCATAAATCGACTCAGAATATGATTCTATGCAGATTCATCAAAAGGAACTATGGGTCTATATCGTTTCCTTTTGCCTGTTACAAACAAATGCACAAAGACATAATACCCTGACCACCTTGTGGTGTAGGGTATAAAATCTTGGGATGTGTAAGATTTGATGAAAATCGGACATGTATACACCATTTTTTGGAAATAATTGTTTTTTTATAAAGTAAACCTTTTGTGGGAGAGGTACAAAAGGGAGTGAGCCGATAAATTCGATTTTCACATTAGACCTCTGGTTGAAAAAAATATGTAGATATACCGAGTTTGAATAGAATCGCCGACTTGTTTCCCACGTTATTGTAAAGGGTCACCTCTTTGGGGGTGAGGTACCAGAAGGGGTAGGCCGACATATATTATCTGACACCAGATCTTGTTTTGGAAAACTATCGGGATATGTGAAATTTGAAGAGAATCGGATGCTTATTTTATAATTATTAAAAATATTGACCCGTTGTGGGGGAGGTATCAGAAAGAGCGGTCCGAGATATTCCATCCTCTCACCTAATCTTGTGTTAGTAGAAATATTGGGATATGTGAAATTTGAGGAGAATTGGATGCTTATTTCGCATTCTATGAGAGTTATAATTATTCAAAATGTTAGCTCTTTGTAGGGGAGGTACACGATGGAGTGGGCCAATATTGTCCATTTTCGCACCTGACATAGCATTGAAACAAATATTAGGATTAGCAAAGTTGGAACAAAATTGGATGATTCTTTCTTGTTCTACAGGGTTGTCCATCCATCTGGCAACGCCATAACTTTTGACAGAGATGTCACATCACTTAATGACATACCGCGTTTGAAGCGTCAGATTGTTCGCATTGATTTGCGGACAAGCCTCGTTTATTGGAATGGGCCCAAAGAGTCATCGAAATGGGTCCGTCGAATATGGGCAACCCTGTATATGTTTAATTATTTTCTTTAAAATTTTTTCATCTTTTGCGAGGAAGAAGTGGACCGATATTTTTCATCTTCGAACTCGATCTGGATTTCACAATAATATTACGATGCACCAAGTTTAGATCAAACCGGGTACTCCCTTTGAGAGTTATCGTGCGCAGCATCCAGACGGACGACTCTAGATCGACTCCAAATGTCCTGAAACGGATTTGGTCCAAAGAGGCATGGGGTCTAAAGCCGTGATTTCGATAAGACAAGTTTTGGCTGTGTCAAATGATATATTTCCCTTTGTAACCACATGGCGAGGGTATTAAAACCAAGGTTGGCCCTTAACATTAAAAATATTAACCTAGTTTTTTTATTTGAAATACTGTGTATTTTTTATCTTTATGGGCTATTATATCTTATTTTGTTCCCCAAAAACACTGTTTTATTCCTCCCCCCGAAAATTGTTTTTGACGTTTTGAAAGATTTTTATTGCCGCTTTATTTTGTTGCTGTTGTTTTTTTTTTTTGTTCATGCAAATGTTTTATCAAGAAATGGAATTGAAAACAATTTACTTATCTCTTCATTATTTGGAGAAGAACACCAAAAAAAAAAAAAAAAATTAAAACTTTAAGTTAAATATTTTCGGAGAAGGTCTGTATAGCCCCTATAGACCCTACAGATATAAAAAAATAATAATAAAATAATAATAAAAATAAATAAAAAAATAAGGTGAAAATGATTTTCATAGATTATCACATTCTTTGTCTGTAGAAAATACACGCAGCATCACAAATATTTGTTGAGTTCGTAACCAGCAACAAAAACAACAATACAAAAAGAAAATCACATTTCCATTGTGGCTGCCAGCTGGAAGACCAACCGCAAGTGTTAAGATAGGCTGTCGTTATAGTGTTGGAGGTTAAGCGGCTAATGTTTGTGAAATCTCACAATCTCAAATCAACAACAACAACAACAGCAGAATTCCACATAAAACAAATATTCTTTTTATCTCTCCAAATTTGTTTTTTCTTCTTCTTCTTCTTCTTCTTCTGATATGCTAATCATTATTTGTCTTTTGTTTTCAGATCTTGTTCGCATAATTCTTCATCTCTTGGGTGTCTTGCAACGGCTTGAAAATTGTAAACTTTACCCCAGTGTACGATACCGGCCTCACCACGACGACTACATTTTTGCAACACTTCAAGGACGTCGTCACGACGAAGTTCTCGGGCAGAGATCATCATCTGCCTCCGTTACATCCGCATCACCAACAAAGCACCCTGCACGGCCACCATCAGCCACACCAAGCTGTGGCTCAAGGATTTTCCACCATTTTCCCCACATATTTAGGTATGGATCGCGCCAGCGGCGGCAATGCTGCTGGCGGTGGTCATGGTGTAACATCAGCACCGATTGGCGTTGGGGTGGGCGGTGCCCTTAATGGACTGGAAGCGATGTCGGCCGAATCGACTGGCCTGTGTCTGCAGGATTTGGTTAGTGCCGGGACAGCGGCCGGCGCCGGATCGGCCGGTTCAGCGGAGAGTGCCACCACAACCAGTACGGCAATGAGTAGCGGCAGTACCACAGGCAGTTCAACTGTAAATAGCAATGCCTCCGTCGGTGGCGGCAGTGATCATATGCATAATCATCACAGTTTACATGATTCCAGTTCGTCGGTTAGCATTTCACCTGCCATTTCGAGTCTAATGCCAATTGGTAGTCTTGGCCATTTGCATCATGGCGGTCAGGATTTGGTTAGCGGTTATTCGCAGCATCCACATCATAGTGTCGTACCCCCGCATACACCGAAACATGAACCGTTGGAAAAGCTCCGAAGTAAGTATGATAGATAATTATGTGATAGGTGATGGCATAAGTTCGATTTTGAGAAACGTTAGGTTAGTGTAGTAGATCAAGTATCTATGGTAGATGAAGAAGCATTTTTATTTTAGTAAGTCCAAGTAGATATTTTATTGTGTAACTATATCACTAAATAGGAGATTTTGTATCTACGTTACTGTGTAGATAAACCTAGATAACGTAGATTCTTTACTTATTTAGACTTCTTATGTACGTTTAACAATGCGGATACAAAATCTACGTTAGATAAACCACAAACCCCTGCGGATAAAGTATCTACGTCATCCGAAACAGGTTTAAAAGAAACAGAAAATTCTGCACTTTATCCGAACCAAGCGGATTATGTATCTACGTGATAATAATTATAATAATAACGCGAATACTGCATCTATGTTATAATAACATGCGGATACAGTATCTACGTCATCTAAACCACATAAATAATGTATGAGAAATATATGGACCACGCGGATAACATATCTACTTTACCTGAACTGGGTGAAGAAAAGTATTTAAAGTATTTGCATCCGGTGGATAAAGTGTCTATATCTAAATTATCAATGTTATCTGAACTATGTGGATAAACTACAGAGTGAGATAAAAAAAAAACAGCAACAAAGCCAAAAAAAATTAATTGAATGAAACCGAAAAATGTCGGAAATAGCATCAAATTTTAGAATAACTTTAGATTTGTTCGAATTGGCCACCTTTGGCACGAATTATGGCCTTCAAACGGCCAATGAAACCGTCACACGCTGCCCGAATGTTGCTCTGCGCTATTTTGGCTATTCCCGGTGAAGCGCTTGCTTGAGGTGATCTACACTTTGGTATTTTTTAGTGCCAACCCTGCTTTCCAAATTACTCCAGACACAATAGTCCAACGGATTGGTATCCGGAGATTTTTGTGGCCATTGTGCGCTGGAAATGAAGCTAGGAACCTCATATTGTAATCACTCTTGGGTGGCGCGTGCTGAGTGCGATGGTGGTGAGTCCTGTTGGAATGTCCAAGGTTTGCGGCCAAAATTTTTGCGTGCCCAAGGCTTTATTACACGCTCCAGAATATTTTCGCGATAATATTTGGCATTTATTCTGATGCCACGGTCGATTAATACGAGCGGAGAGCGACCATCGAAAGTTATGGAGGCCCACATCATCATCATGACCGGCGCTTGAGTTCTGGTGGTGCACATTTGAGTTCCGAAGTTGTACATATTCTGCTGAACTCTTTGGCAAGTAAACACGATCAAGCTACTGGACAACGAATGTTTTCTCATCGGAGAAAACCAAAATTGGGAAGTTCACCACTTTCGGTCAAGCGAAGCAACTCTTTAGATCTTTTGAGTCTATTTTCTTGCTGTTGCGGTGTAAGTTCTTGCACTTTTTGGAATTTCAATGGCTTTACCCAGAGCTCATTTTTCAATATTTTTCCGAATGGAATATTGCGATATGTTCAGCCCACGAAACATTTTTCGGCCACTTTTATTCTAACCGATACTCGTTTAAAATTTTTCATTCACAAATCTAAACTCAATTTATTGTCAGCTCTAAGCAATTCGAGATGCAAACTTTGGGTTTTTTTCAAAATAGGCAATGGAACACTTAAGCTTGGCAACGCCAATATTTAATGCACATGTCATCTGTTGCAGATAAACATATATTTCCCAATCAAAACCAAATATTTAAGATGACATTTTTTATGATCACACATGATATTGGCAATTTTGGATTGTTTCAAATTATTTTTTATTGTTCCAGGAATTTCTTTGTAGCCCCTGACCAATTTAACAAACAGAATTAACAACAACTTGTTTCTCTCGAGAATTTGTTAAATATTCTACTTGAAAAAAAAAAAAAAAAAAAAAACAAAACACATCGTATCTCTTCGTATATTTCGTTTTCTTTTTTTTTTTTTTTTTTTGACAAACATTTTCGTTGCTTCTTTGTGACATTTAACAAATTAACAGCAAATTAATGAGGTTATAATTCACCGCACAATGAACGGAGAATGTTAGACACTCGGGGCAGGAATAACAACCAATTGCCCCAAAAAAAAAAAAAAAAATCAACAGAAACAACAATTTGTCGATGGGTGTCGTTCGCTTATCGTGTGTAGGGTAATATTTAAGATATTGTAAAAATCAAATGTTATGGAGGGTGGAGCGGAAATTGTGAGAAAAAGCCAACATTTTTTTTTAGCCGGAAAGTGTGTGGGGGTTTTTTCTCCAGCCAAAGGGGAGAATTTTTATTTTTTTATACCCTACAACACTATATGTTGGGGGTATTATAAGTTTGATTGGGCCAAAAATTATGTAACACCACGAAATATTGATTTCCCACATAGGAAAGTATATATGGATCTTCCTATCTCGCCGAGCTGAGTCGATCTAGCTGTGTATGTCCGTCCGTCCGTCTGTCCGTCTGTCCATGTTAATTTGTAATCACGCTACAGGTCGCAATTATGGCCCAATCCTAACGAAATTTTGCTAGAAGGTGGGGTTAGGGTCAGTCTAGAAGCCTATTTCTTTTGGAGATGATCGCCAAATGTTTAGGGGTTGAAATGGACCAAATACTGAAAAAATGTCGGATTTTGCAGTAGCTATACAGGTCGCAATTATAGACCAGTCGGATTTTCGCATGTAGCTAGAGTTTAGGGCGGGGAAGAAGCCTACCAATTAGGGTAGTCATCGGATAATATTTAGCGGGTAAAATAGACCATATCTTTTTTGTTGAAAAAATTCAAAATTTAAAATTAAACCGCGAATATTTTAAAACCCGGCGAAATCACGAAGCCATGACAAGGTTACTTCTGATCTTTACATTGATGTTAACATCCAACAAATCGGATATATAGCAAAATATGTGCGATATATATGTCTATCAAAGAAGATAGGCTTGAAAGATCTCTTATATGTCGAGAACGGCTGAACTGATTTCGGCAGTTTTCATTAATTCAGAATGGCCTCTTGGCAGGAAAGAAAAAACGTCTAAAAACTCGCATAAAAATATCTCTCTAAAGATGAAAATATTGATTTTCTAACATTTTCTCATATTTTTTCAATTTTGTCACATTTTTGGCATATTTTCATTTTGAATTAAACATTTGGTAATATTTCTACAGCTAATAAAACTAAGTAGTTAGGATATCAGGATATCATATACAGATCGCATTTATGGCCCGATCCTTACGAAATTTTGCATGGGGATCAGATGAGGGTTAGAATAGAAGCCTACTCCTTTTGGAGATGATCGCCATATATTTAGGGGTTGAAATGGACCAAAAAAACTGCAAAATTGTCAGCAGGTCGTAATTATCGCCCGATCCTCACGCACATTTGAATTGGTGTTACCGGACATTGCAAAAGCCAAGCAGTTTTGGATGGCCATCCAAAAATATTCAATGTGTGAAATAGTTTACCAACTTTTGTAGACAAAATACGAAAATGTCCATTCCAGTGACTTTTTCGAGAATTCACAAATACAGGAAAGGCGCACTTCTGACTATTTCGTAAACGCTGATTTCGTTGAAGAATATAGTCAAATGTCTATATCTCATATAGATGCGTTTCAGTGAAAAACCAATAATAAATGTTAATCTCTTGCCACTTCTGAGAGATTATAGGTCTTTTGGAGATGTTGGTTCCAGATCTAGGAAGACCATTTACGTGCAACATCTACCAATAAATTGGAAATGAGCAAATTAGTTTAAGTTGCTATTATTCGAAAATTAGAGAACGAAACCTGATGGTTTTCTTTTATTATTTGTCACAATATCTTGTGGAGTTCTTTCGAGTATCTCGCCCATATAAACTGTATCGTTTATTATAGTATTGTAGGGTATTCAACGGTCGGCCCCTCTCGACTGTAGCCTTTGCTTACTTGTCTTTAATTTTATTTTGCTTTTGTTTTAAGTTAACCAGTAATGAATACTTTCCACATATCCATTTCAGAAACTTTTTAATTTGACCCTCGTTACTTTACAATTTTTTTTTGAAGAAGGAAAAACTCAATGTGTTGAAATGACAAGACAGCAACAGGCTACAACAAATCGGTGACAAATATACCTTATGTTGTATCTATCTATGAGTATGGGTTCATATGTGAGACGCGCATACATTCCAAATGGGCGATAATTAGTCAACACCAATAACAATCTAAGGCATTAGATGGACCCCAAAAATTAAAATGGGCAAATTGACGGGGAAAGTTGCTGGGACAAAATGTGGGTGTTTGGCGTTAAATTCCATTTCGTAGAAAAATTGAATGGAATTAGAAAGAAGAAGAATGCTCTATTATATCGATATATCTAAAGTGGCACATCCATTCATCTCGCAGCTAGCCATCCGACAAACCATAAGAATATAATTAAAGAAAATCACCCATTCAAATAAATTGGAAATGGAATTTCACAAGATTGACGGCCAAGTGATCAAAATCCCATAAAAATGTTAACATAATTATGACAATAATCTATTTGGAATAATTTGAATTGAATGAGAGAGAGAGAGCGATAAATGATTTGAATGATTACAACAAGTGGGAGGAAAGGCGGATGCTTAAGCATTTCCTTCCTTCCTTCCGTTTTGTGTCAAATCACGAAAACTTCCACAGCCATATACAAGAGTAATATGAATAAGTGAGCGAGTGACCCCTTTGTGAGCAAAGATATTACACCCAAAACGTCACTTCAATTCCCAAAACAATTTGTTACAACCCGGAATGCCAAAGGCTTCAGCGTATAAAACACTTTTGCTTGCGCCCCAGGCCAAATACTACTACGCCAAGTGGCATATGCACTTGATGTTTATTCAGTGGAAATTGTGGCGCGGTTGCCGTTGTTGTTGTTGCTGCTGCTGACGAACTCAAGAGCATATCAAATTTCCAAAAGGGACAGACAACAACAAGAACAAAATCAAAAAAAAAACGACTAACGGGGAGAACTCCCTCGTTGCACTTTCACACTCTCATAATTGAAGTGT